TTAATTTTAATAGGAATAACAGCTTCTAATATTTGGTTTTTAATTTGGTTTTATAGGGGTCTATATTTTTTGTATTTTGTATTTGTACTTGTTTTAATATGCTGTGCACCGCCCTGAGTCCTGCGGGAGAAGGGCGGTATATAAATTAAATTATTATTATTATTATTATATAATCAATCACATTGGTGAATCTTATAACCTCTAAACGTTGGTGGATTACAATCCCATAGCTCCAGTAAACTGCTGGATAAATTCAGTGATGAGGAATCAGAAGCTGAACTTCAGCAAGTTTCTGAAGATAATGACAAATATTCCAGCTTTGATCTAACACAGAGATTTCCAAAGTACATTTTAGGGGCATTCATGGATACTTTGTGACAGAAAGACCTTGTCTTCAGACTGTCCTGAAAATCATGATTTTTCTTCCTCAGCAATGGACAGAACCAAAACCAGAGTGCTCTATAAGATTCAATTTATTCAATAGATTTATTTAGCAGAGACCTGGCTTGCTTAGCGCATGTCTTGTGCAAATCAAATATATGTTTTATATAATGCTGGAACATTTTGATATGTGGAGAGATTCCATAACTAAAGTCACAAAGAAAAATGCTTTCTGAAGCTAGATGATTTGGAAATTACTGATTTTTTCCCATTTTTTTATATAATTCAATTTTGAGTCTTCCTAATTATTTAGTTAGTTTACTATTAAAAGAGAAGTAAAAGGAAACAATGTAGAGAAGAAATAGAACTGACTGGAAGACTGATCTGATATTACATAAAATAACCAGAAAAAAATAAACAAAATCCAATTACCATTTTATAACATTACAGTATATTTATTTCTAAAGTTAGCTACAAGCTGAAAAGGAGGAGAAAAGAAAAAAATCAGGGTGCTAAAGCAGGTCTCATAAAAATCCTATAAAATCAGATCCTTTCCTGATTTACATGAGAAACAATGGCACATCCCAATGGTGGGATTCAGCCAGTTCACACCACTTCGGCAGAACTGATAGCTAATTTTTTTGTTACTCAAGCCCAAAATGAACTTCCGGAAGCGGCATCCGCACAGAGAACCGGTTGTTCACATATTTGAATCCCACCACTGGCACATCCTCATATCTATACCAAATGCCAGGATTTTAAAGCTTAGGAGAAAAGCTATAAACACCAAAAGTTATTTTCCAGAAGGAAGGATCTGAAGACTGAAGAAACTGAATAAGATCTGTGAATTAGGAAAAGAAGAATGCAATACTTAAATGAACAATGTAAATGGTTTATAGCTTTAGGCAGTTGTATCAGGTCAAGGACCGTATTAGGCTATGTGCAATACACTGAAAGCTTCTTTCTATAACTGAATAATTATAACCGAATAGCAGACTTGGAAGAGACCTTGTAGGTCAGTGGCGGCGAACCTATGGCACGCGTGCCAGAGGTGGCACTCAGAGCCCTCTCTGTTGGCACGCGCACCACTGCCGCCAGCAGCAGGTCCATCAGGCCGCCACTGCTGCCCGGAACAGGACCCCTGCCCAGCACAAAGGAGGCGAAGTGGCCGACTAGCAAGCTCGAGTAGAGGTGGTAGAGCAGAGGTCACCAACTATTGTCGATTGATGGACTGGAAGAAAAGGGAGGGGGAAGCATTTTACATGCGTGCATGTGCGCACAGGGCCGCAAGCACACACGTGCTGCAAATGGGGCGGGGCTAGTGCCTGCGTGATAATCACTAGCCCTGCCCCGTTCTTGCATGGTGCAGCGCTTTGTATCTGCACCACATGGTGCGGCAGCGGCCATTTTTGCGCCCCTGGTTTTTGTGTGCCAAAGGCGGCACTCAGAGGCGCCTCCCTCCCCCCAAGGGCACCAAAATGCTGACATGGCCCTGGCATTTTGCGATAAATAAGTGGGTTTTGGGTTGCGGTTTGGGCACTCGGTCTCTAAAAGGTTTGCCATCACTGTTGTAGGTCATCTAGTCCCTGCTCAAGCAGGAGACCCTATACCATTTTTGACAAGTGGTTGTCCAGTCTATTCTTGAAAACCTCCAGTGATGAAGGCAAGCTGTTCTATTGGTTGATTGTTCTGTCAGAAAATTTCTCCTTATTTCTAGGTTAAATCTCTCCTTGATCAGTTTCCATCCATTGTTCCTTGTCTGTCCTTTGGGTGCTTTGGAAAATAGGTTGTCCTCCTCCTCCTCTCTGTGACAGCCCTTCAAATATTGGAACACTGCTATCATGTCATCGCTGGTCCTTCTCTTCACTAAACTAGCCATGTCCAGTTCTTACAACCGTTCTTCCTATGTTTTAGCCTCCAGGCCCCTAATCATCTATGTTGCTCTTCTCTGCCCTCTTTCTAGAGTCTCAACATCTTACATTTTACAGTGTGATGACCAAAACTGGATGCAAAATTCTAGATGTGGCCTTACTAATAAGGCTTTATAGCGCGATACTAGTACCTCAGGTAATCTTGATTCACTCCCACTGTTAATGCAATTTAGGATTGCATAGTTTTTTGGCGGTTGCTGCTGCACACTGCTGGTTCATATTTAATTTATTATCCACTAGGACTCCAAGATCCCTCTCACAGTTATTGCTATTAAGCCAGGTTTCATCTAATCTGTACATGTGCTTTTGGTTTTTCTTGCCTACGAGTAAGACTTTACTTTTCTCTACATTGAATTTCATTTTGTTAGATAAGGCCCAGTGTTCAATTCTGTTGAGCTCCATCTGGATTTTGAGCCTATTATCTAGGGCAGTGATGGCGAATCTTTTAGAGACCGAGTGCCCCAAAACCACCCCTGCCCACCCGCAGGGCCACTCACCACCTTCACGGCCCGTCGCAGATTGGCCAGGTGGCCCAGCAGTACCATGGCGGTCACGCCTTCCGCTTGTGCCCTGCAGCATCAACTGCATGTGACAGGACATGAGGGTGGAGTCTTGTCCCCGCTGCCTGGCTGCCATGTGCTCGGGGGTGACTCTCCTCCGGGAGGGCTGCTGGTGAGGAGGCCGTGGGAAGAGGTGGGGCTGGGGTGAGGGTGCGCGTGCCCACAGAGAGGGCTCTGAGTGCCGCCTCTGGCACATGTGCCATACGTTCGCCACCACTGATCTAGGGTGTTGGCTATTCCTGCCAGCTTAGTATCATCTGCAAACTTGATAAGTACCCGTTCTATTCCCTCATCTAAATCATTTATGAAGATATTGAAGAGTACTGGGCCTAAGACAGAACCTTGTAATACTGGGTAACTTGTGGTACAGGGTAGACAAACTCTGTATTTTGATACTACATTTTATTAATTACACTAACCATTTTATTGTATATTCTTAACCAAATACTTTTTTAAAAAAAAAAAAAGTAAACACCCCTTTCTCAAAAAAAAAGTTACAGCTCTCCATAAACAAAGCTGGGGTTCTGAGAACCAGGATCTATGAGAAACCATAGCCTAAGCTATTTCTTCTGATCAGATAATCCCTTTTAAATGTGCATTTTCAAATGACCCTTCAGTTTGGAATAGTGTTATGGTAACAAAAAATAACAAGAGATATTATTGCTACACAACACACTTCTGAAATTGCCCTTCTTAGAGTGATTTTAACACTTCCTTTACCTGTCTGTATGTGTCCTGGTGAGTTTCTTCATTTCTTGAATCATAATATTGTTCAACGAAAGCAAAGTATTCTTTCCGTTTTCTTTGCAAAGTGCCTTCTCGCCTATCTGTGTTTGCAGGAAGATAACCCTACAAATTGAGAGGTAAAAAGGGCAGTTCTTAATCATTAATTCAAATAAAAAAAATCAGTGCTATGGTATCAGGCATTTTCCAATTAATTTCAATCAGCAGAATAGCCAAGTAAATTTGAAAATCTGAGCAGCATTTTATTGAACCGTTTTGCCAATTACTGCAGTGGAGACCCAGATTATATTGTGCTACTTTTACTTTTATTTCAGTATTCATTGTAAAAAAATAATATTCTGTTATGCAAAGGGATAAGGCCTACCAAATTTTAAACAGACTGAAACTTCATCTAATTAAATTTAAATTCAATCTAATTAAAAAGGTACACAAATAAAAAAATATTGTATGAACAGAAAAATCTGATCTTTAAAACTTTAAAATAAGCTAAGATACACTGTCCTTGCAAATAAATCCAGCATTAACGTAAATCAGATTTTGACAACTTTCCAGATACCCTTATGCGATTTTGCATAATGGCCCAGGCAACATCATTAAAGAAGAAAATTATTTTAAAAATGATTGAAATCTTAGGAGACTGCAAAATGTACAATTTTTCAGAATCATTACTCTGAAAGCTCACAAATTTAGACAGTCTCTTGAAATTAACTATAAAAAGTGTATCACAGGAATTATATCGCCAATCCCTGAAGCATAAGAAAAGAACATGGCCTGAGTCATCTTCATCTTAGTCTTATAGATGTTAATATATCCATGTAAAAAGGGCAGTGCACTCAGTGCAAAATAACTGAAAACGAGTAAGATTAATTTACTTTCATTCCCAATTTATTTTCAGCACCAAAGAAGAGAACATCTCTATTTGGAACTCCATTACTTCCACAGAATTCTTAAACTCCATTTTCTGCTTATTTTCTTATGTATATAAGCTAAGATTAAAGAATAAGGGACAAAATGAGATAACAATTTGTTGGAAAATGAATCTGAAATCCAAATAAGGAATGGTACATGAAATTACTGAGAGTTGGTGAATGCGAGTCAAAATTCAAATACAGGCAGTCTTCGCTTAATGCCTGCTCTGTATTGTGACCATTCAAAGTTACGATGACATTGTAAAAATAACTTTATGACCAATCCTTGCAGCATCTCTGTGGGCATGTGGCTGACATCCATGCACGTTCACAACCGTTGCAGTATCCTGTAGTTATGTGATAACCATTTTGTGCATCACAGCCAGCTTCTGACAAGCAAAGTCAATGGAAAAGCTGACAGTAAAATCACAAGCCATGGTCATGGGATGTCTTGCTTAATGACCATGGGTAATTCCCTTAACAGCTGCTACAGAAGTGAGGTTGCAAGACCATCATCATCACATGAAGTCTTGCTTAACAGCTGCATCGCTTAAAGACAATTGCCGGTCCCACTTCTTAAGTTCTTAAGCGAGAACTACCAGTATAGGGGTTTTCCCCCCCCAAAATAAACTAATTCAACAGAAATGGGGGGGGGGAAATAGGTTGAAAGAATACATACACCTATGTGGAAATCCATGTATTAAAAAAAAGGAAGTATTGTTAAAAGCATCTGGGCAAAGAGATATACTGAGAAACATAATATTTCTACAGGAGCATAATAATATTTTGTGTGCAGATCTAGCTGTTGCACCTTAAAAAAGAAATACCGTAGTGAAATTAAAGAAAGTTCAGAGGAGGGCAATTAAGATGCTCAAGAGACTGGAGCAACTTTCCTATAAGGAAAGGTTGTGCCATTTTGGAATTTTTGGTCTAAAAAGGAGGCAAACAATAGGGTTTGTGATTTACAAAATTATGCATAATGTGGATCAAATGGAGAAGCTATTTCCCCCTTCTCAAAGTACTGGAACCAGAAACTGGATCCTGGAAGAATCAGGACAGACAAAAGAAAGTATTTTTATACATTACATAATTAAACTTTGGAATTTGCCACCCCAAGAAGTGGTGCTGGTTACCAGGGTGGCTAGTTTCAAAAAGAAATTGGACCAATCTACAGCAATCATGAGGATGAATAGCTATTAGCCTCAATGGTAATGTGACTGCCTCTGAAGTCCATTTGCTGGAGGATTAGTGAGTTGCCCTTTGCAGTTGGTTGGTCACTAAAAGAACAGACAATGTTGGACTAGACAAGTCAGGGACCTGATCCAGTGAAGCACGGCTTAAGTTCTTAATGCAACTAACTCAAAGATGCAGATTATGCTTTCTGGAAACATAAAACGCTTATGTTATGCCACAGAAATAATGGGCAATTTCAGCTAATCTTGGCAGCTATTACAAATGGAATAACTAATACATTTTTGTCTTGCTTGCTAACAGATTCATTTTGCAAAATGAACCTGGATCTGCCCAATGCTAATCCCGTACCTAACAACTACACCACACGTATTAGAATTTATGGCAGTGGACTTCCGGTGGCAGGCGATTTCGCTGGTCGCAGCTGTTTGCTGCCTCCTGCCTGTTTTGCGTAAAAGCCGGTTTGACAGCCAGCATCAGCTGTCAAACGGCTTGATACCTTTCCCCTGGGCATAAGGGGATAGGTGAGCTGCCCGGGGTAGGAGTTGAGTTCCCGAGTCGTCCTATATGGACGATGTAGGCGAGAANCTTTAAAGAAAAAACATTCAAATGCCTGCTCCCAGAACAATCTTGTTAAATGATCTTCTTCTTCTGAAGTAGGGCTTCTCATCTGCAAGAATGGTTTGAACCCAGTCACCTCCTTGGAAGAAACTGCAAAAGATATGGCACCATGAATAAAGTCCAAAGGCAGTATTTTTTGAAAAGGGACTGACATGAACTCCATCTGAGCTGGCATGATCCAAACTTTGTCTTTTCTCTTTACTGGTATATCCTCATATTCTGAAAGATGGGGAAATATTCTGAAAATGCCAATGACGTGGTTTTCACCATAGAGGATCACAACATTGGCAGTGCTGTTCATGATAACCATGTACATGGCAATATAATCTTTAAATATATATTCAATGTGATTAGAAAAAGTTTCTGTGGGCAACTCTTCCACGAAGGCAAAGCAAATACCTTTCTGGACAAACAGTGTAAGGGCGTTCCGTACAAAACTCCGTCCACTCTCATCAGGTTGGGAAATCAGCCCTATCCATACCCACTTTAAATGCAACAGCAGCTGAAGAATCCCCTTAGTCTGAAGCTCCTCATTTGGGAAAAAACGATGAAAGAAAACTGTGTGTTCGCTATTATCTTTCATTGGAGCAGATCCATATAGAAGCTAAGGATAAATGATTTAAAATAGTTGGGTATTAGAATCTATGATTCAGACTGTGTTCCTCACAAACTTCAAGAAAAATATAATCTAGAAAGAAACCAGTTTTCCTTTAATTTAATATTTGAATGCCATAGGTTTGACAATCTATTGTTTCAGTAATTTCTGAACCTTAGCAGGATAACAGAATAACACAGTTGGAAGGGACCTTGGAGGCTTTTATATATCAAGATATACAATTTGAAGAGTCAGAGCAATTTAATTGTGAATCTATACTGGGACTAAATGTGGAAACTATTAGGCAAACTAATTTTATACAAAGTTATTTGGACTTATTTCAATTGCTAAAAATAACAAAGATTGATATCCAGACTATATTGGCAGAAAAGGGAGAAAATTTTGCTCAGTTTCA